CAGGGCTGCTCTCAATCCATTTTCAGCCCAGTCTGTACTTGTGCTTGGGATTGCCCTGACCATGTGCAGGACCTCACACTTGGCCTTGTGGAACTTTGAGGTTTGCATGGGCCCGCCTCTCCAGCCTGTTCAGGTCCCTCTGGATGGCATCCCTTCCCTCCAGCATGTTGACCACACCACACAGCTTGGTGTTGTCAGCAAACCTGCTGAAGGTGCCCTCAATCCCCTTGTCCATGTCACCGACAAAGATGTTGAACAGCACCGGCCCCAATACCAGCTCAAGGAACACCACGTGTCACTGGCCTCCACTTGGACATCGAGCCGTTGACCACAACTCTTTGAGTGTGACCATCCAGCCATTTCCTTATCCACCCAGTGGTCCATCCATCAGATCCATGTCTCTCCTCCTTAGAGACAAGGATGTCGTGTGGGACAGTGCCAGAATGTAAGCCATCAGTTTGTTAGTGAGTCCTGTTAAGTTCTGATTGGAATTTGCCTATCTTGCCAGTTTTGTGTCACGTTTTAAGCAATAACTAATGCAATGGGCTGCCAGGTTTTACAGTGGGTTTTTCCACTGACAGTGGTTTTTAGCTGATAGAGCTTTCAGGTATCCTTCTCAACAGCACGAGGAGAGCTATGACATGTGAGATGCGTATTGCTTCTTTCAAGTCCCAAGTTTTATGTCTGTAGGGGATGGTTAAGGTACAATGTTTAGACCGGTTATATTCATGATCTGGGTTGCAGTATGGGGCTCGTTATCAGTGTTTTGGATTAGTAGACTTTTCCCCATTTGGGGACTCAATATGGTTTGAGTTAGTCTTTGTAAAATATTTGAAGTCAAGCTTCTACTTTGTAACTTATGTGATGCTAAATATCGGTAGAAGGCTTTCATATACCTAATATCGAGAGCACCTGAATCAGTGGGAAAGTGATTTTGCTGAGCCAAAAGAAAACTTCTTTTGATCTGTCTCTTAGTCTCAGTAAGTTGAGTCAACGCTTCTGAAAGATCAGAGAATTAATGCTGGTTTTGAGTCATCAGGGGGAGTGTTTTACCACTCTGTGCCAGCTTAGTTCTACTTTCTTCTCTCACAAGTTGTTGTAAATATGATACTTTCCAAAATTCAGGGCTAAAAGCACATGTTAAAATTGCGCGTAGCGTGGGTTGCTGGTAGATGGTATCTTTCTTTGCAAGCCTGCTAGTTTAACTTTCTTTAACCCTCTTACAACTCCAAGCCTGGAATAAACCTTTCTTTGAGAGCTAGAGGTGCTAAATCCTGCCAGCGTCTGTGCTGGCATTGTCACAGACGAATCTGCTAGGAGATTAAATGTTAAAATGAGAGGCCATCTCTCTCTCTCTCTCTCTCTCTCTCTTTTTTAAAATGATTAGCATGCTTAAGAGTCTCCCTGTAGTGCCTGAAATAGCTGTTGTGTAACCTTTTGTCTTCCCTTGGAAGTGGAGTGAAAACATCTGTATTTCCACTTCGGGGTTCACTTCTTCCTGACGATTTAGTCAGCTTTGACGCATTGAAAGTGGAACATCTCCTGGCAGAGAGGCAATGAGGGTAAGAGCAGCTTTGATCTCTTCTCCCCTACCCCTTCCTCTCCTGAAAAGATCCTGCCGGAATGTTTGGCATGGCCTAGTAATGTCGTGTTTTTCCAGAGGCTGGAGAATCTGATCCAGGTAATGCAGATGTTAATAGCAGGAGTGCAACTGACTACGGAAAAGTTTGAGATGCTTCAGTGAATTAAATCTGTTCCAGGGAAAGTTCCCTTAAAAGAGGAGGAAGCTAAATGAAACTGCATTACTCCTCTTCACCTTTGCGCGTGAAGAATTCGTTTGGTGTTTGAAGGTCGGCTTTTATTGTTGCTATGGCTCTGAACAGGCCCTGGTTCTTTTGAACTTCACGAGAATTCCAGGAATTCTTCCCTGGGCTGAATTTTGGAGAAGGAGGAAGAAGAATTATGTCTTGAAAACTACAGATATCCTTTCCATTAAAAATAGTATTGTTTTCTGGTCTTTTTTCCCCAGTATTCTGTCATCTTACCTATGCTCTTTGCATTTGATTATTTCTTAGACATATTTTTCTTCCTTTCTTACCCCGGTTCTCCACTCTGACTTAAAAAAAATTGTTCTGTTATAACAGCTAAATATCCCGGTTTTTCCAGGTATTGGCTAGTCATGCCACTATCCAATTGTTTTGTGGATCAAATTATTTACTCTATTATTGTTGTCTTCCTCTTTGAATGTTTTCCAAACCGTAGCCCCCTTGAATTTTACACCTGTTCCAGTTTCTCGTGAGTTCCTTTTTCTGACAGAATTAGCTGTGAACACCTGGAGCTTTCTCTCCTTATTTGCCCTGCTGCGTGTTGCTGCTGAACAATGATGCTTTTGAAATATCTTAATCCTCCCATGGATATAAATCGATTGCTAGTGTTCCCAGTTCCCATAATACGTGGTTTTCCAGTATGTGACTTCCACCCCTCTAGTCTTTCTTGCTAAACTGTTTGTCTTGATACAGAGTCATGTTGGGATGAGTTTCTGAAAATAATCTGGGATTTCTCAAACTAAGCTGGGCAGTTTCTTAAAAAAACCCCACATTCGTATCCTGAAGCCACTGAAAAAATGTTTTTCTTTTGCCAAGTAGGAGGAACGGGATCATCTCCTACCTGAGCTCCCTGCTAACTGTGGCTGCAGCTCTATGATGAGCTATTTAACCGACCTGTTTATGGAATAAAACAAACATGAAGGTTCCTTGGAAAATTTTACTTCAGTGTTAACGTTAGGGGATTGAGATGTACAGTATAAATAATTGGCATTTGAAATATTCTGTAAAAAGACAGAATCTTTTCTGTTGTTGATTCCTGTTGCAGAGAAGTTAGGTTTGAGGTGGGTTTCAATGGTAACTTCAGAGTTCGTTTTGTTTATAAAGAATTGTAGTTTTGAAGGGAATTCGTTAAATTGACGCATTTACTATGAACTAATAACTATTTACTTGAATAAAGTTTAACTAAAATGTAATGGGCCGGAGTCTTTTCAGACTTCTGATCTGGGTCTTAGATGCTTGACAAATTTTTGAAATTTTCATGTTACGAAGTATTTGTGAAGAGAAGTGGAAGAGTGGAAAGCAACTTTTTCTCCGTGTAGATGATCTAGCTGTCTGGAGCAAAACACCGCCAGCAATGCTTGATTTATTTCTGCAGCTCCAGGTTCTCTCTCATATGTATGTGTAGCGTCTGTGCGAAGTCAGTGGCTCTGCAATAGAGCCATTATGTGTGGGAGGAAAAAAAAAAGTGCTAAGATTGTGTCTACTCTTCGTAAGCATAGGAAGGTGTAGGAATTCTGATTAGCCCAGTGCAGTGGCTTCTCAAAGGTTAGAAAAAAAATGGAGCTTTTGACGGAAAATGGGAGATTTGGTTTGTATGTTAGTGAAGGCCGTGGTGCACAAGGGAGAAAATACAAGTAGTTTTCATGACCTTACGTCTCAAAGCCCACCTGTGAGTGCTCCGGAAAGCAGACTCTGCAGTATAAAGGCTGGGAATTAATTTGAATCAAAAGTATCTGTTGAGCCACAGGGTCCTGTAATGCTGGAGGACATATCTGATGAAGACCTTACTGGCAGAAGCTCTTCCAGTTCATATGAATAAAAAATAACATTAAAACTAAAAGAAAAAGGATGAGTCAAATGGCTATAAAATTATGTTAGTGGCACCTCGTATGTTAACAGTGGTTCACACGTTGTGCCTAGTTCTCCACTCATATTATTGCAAACATGTAATTTCTTCTTTGTCAAGATGTTTTTAAAAAATGTGTTTATTCATTTTTTTCTAAGTTCTTTATATATTCTGTCATCACTCTCTTCCTATTCTAACATCCCACTTCAGTGGTTCTGATTAACATTTTCTTTATCTCCGCTGTCATCTTGGAGGCGGGAACCTGGCGTGTAATAAAGTAGTCAACATGCCCCATTTGTGCAGAGTCTTGCGTTCTTCTGAGTGCTCATGTACTCTGAAGCTTGTGTTCCTGTTTTCAAGAACTAGTCGGGTAACTAATCACCTTTGGAAAATCTGGGTCATTTAGCTGTGTTTCAGGGTAGAGAACCACAGTCGTTGTATCTGCTCTCATCTGTCCTCTTGTCCTCTGCTGTGTTCTTCTAGCAGGCATCTGCCCTTTCCTCAGGCTTGTCGCAGAAACGTTCAAGAGATATCCAAATGCCCTCGAAATGCCCTATTCCCTCTGCTAGGAAAGGAAAGCAAGGCCAGGATGGTGTCCTGGGGCCCGCTGTGCTTTGCCAGGTGGGACTCAAACCTTTGAGTCCTTCACACTCGTTCCGTGTGAGGGCCGTGACGGATCCGTTGGGACGTCTGCGCCCAGAGGGGTTCCGTAGGTGGCCGGCCGTTCCGGCAGGGTGCTGCTGGGGTTGCTGCTGTGGCAGGTGGGTTGGTTGGTTGGGTGCCTCCTGGCCAGGGTTGCTGTTACTGCAGTCGCGGTCCAGCCCGTGTGACAGCAGCTTCCCTGGGAAGTGAGCTGGAAGGTGCTGGTGTTTCGCAGTGCTCCCGGTTCTCACCTCCTCGGAGGTGAACTCCAGATAAACAGGTGCCAGCTTTGAGCTGTGCCCAGAGCATCCTGATGGCTAAGCAGGAGGCGCAAACAAGGCTGTGCGGAGCAGCCGGACCGTGCAGGCTGGAGCCCTGAGCTCCCTGTGCTTGCAGCATGTCCTGCTGGCCCTGAGCCCCACGAGAAAATGTTCCTTCACAAGAACTTCTTGATTAACTCTGTAAGATTCAGTCTTAACTTCGATTATATTTGTATCCCCTCAGTTATTCAAAAGAGTTTAAAATAGCCCAGCTTCCAGAGGCGCTTGCATTTAAATGAGAAAAAAAAAAAATTAGAAGTTGGAACCATGCTCATTGTTGTTTGTGTACATCTTTTCTCCCATCAGGAACTGCATCTCATACCCAATTTCTTTTGCAGTTTTGTTCAGTGGAGGGACTGCTGTATGTCAGCCATGCTAAAGGGCAAGTGATGGAGGCAAGTACTAGTTTATATATTCACAGTTATCTCATATTGTTTTTGCCAGTTTCTCCTGTTGAACTGTTTTGTTTCCCAGTGCTGCTGTGAAATAATTGCACAAATGAAGGACTATATTAGCATGTAATAATGTTATAACATCTGCTCAGGGCGACTGTATATGGAATTTTGAATTTTGTCCCTGATGTATTGTATTCTTGTATGAATAAGAAATGTATATTTTTGAACTTCATGCTATAAAATATTCCATTTCCTCCCTCAGAACATAAAGGTTGTTATAAGTGGAGAAAAAAACAAGCACAGAACTTGAATCCTAGGGCAAATAAATGTGCAAATTAGTTCTATTGATTCACAGTTCTTCACGTTTATGAGGAGTTTTTTCCCCAAAAGTAGATACTAGGACAGGTAAGTAGTTTAAGGATCTTCATACCAGATAGGCAATTTCAAAAGCTCTTTTCAGGCTCACAGCAGGCTCATCATATGGAAAGATGATGAATAGGCAGATGACCACAGAACTCCCTCCAGGGGCCTCTTAGAGATAAGAGTCAGTGTAATTTCCGAAATCAGTCACCGAATACTCGGGGGTAGTGGAGACTTGCTTGTGAGCCAGCTGTAGAGTGATTTGTTTCAGGGTGGTTTGCAAATTGACACAGGGCTAACTTCAGCAGGTTAATGGTTTCCAGCAGATAGTGCATGGAACTCCAGTTAGACTGAGGTGGTGGTCTTTAAGATAACCATATTACCAGTGGTAGTCTGGATCAGAAGTGTGCAGGAGATCAAAAAGATACTGGTTAGAGAGTATATTGGGCATCTTTGATATGAACTACAGTTCTTCAGTGAGTCCAGACTGAAAAATGAATGCTGAGGGAATCAGCTAGAACGAGAAAGGCAGTTATGGGTCAACTGTTACGTATTATACACTAAATAATTTTGGGACTCTTGCTTTGTAGCCAGTGAGGTTTGTTCACTGAACCGTTTGGGCTATTGGATGAAAAGGAAAATCTAGTTTTGCCTTTTTTTTTCCCCAAAACTTAAACCGAGTGAAGACCTGCAATTCAACTTTCTAGAAAACCTGTTACATGAGAAAAAAGAAATATTAAGAAAGCCAAAGCATAATACTAGTTGTAAAGGCTCTTGAAGTCATTTAGGAAAATATTAAGTGTGTAAAAATAAAGGGTTGGTTGCACTTCTTTTTTAATTCTGACACACAGGTTCTGCATGAATATGGGTAAATGTATTACATTTTTCTGAGATGTAGTTTATTACTTTGCATTTAATGTGTTATTGTTTAAACTGGCCAATATATTTAGATGCAATGCTTATAACATGTTCATAGTACTGAGATAAAATCCTGTATGATTCCAGTGTTTTGCTTTCTGCAAGTACTGAATTTTATCTTGCCTCCAGCTGATAGCAGTGACATTTGAAAAAAAGAGAGTGTGAGGCAGCTCTTCTGATATTTTTGGATGCCAATTTGCAAAGCATTTTGGGACATCTGTTTAACCCTTTGTGTCAGGTTCAGATGCACAAAATTGAGAGCGCTCTGATTGTAACCTCAATGCATTATGTTTCTGCAGCTGTTTTAAGATAAAAATGAATGCTCTCAAATCCGAAACACATGTTGCATTTCAAATGTTTTTTTTTTTAAAGCACAGGCTGCTTTCTGCCAAGATTGAGGTAGACCTCTGTGGTCTGGTTTCTGTATTTGTAGAAGCCTAATCAAAGCTTTCTCCTGCAAGAAAACTATGATCAGCTTCCGAGCATGTGATCTCATGGTGCTGATGTGAAACTCTTTCAGATACTGTGTCCTTCCTTCCTTCCTCATTCCTTTGCTGTACTTCTCCAATAGTGTGTTGCTATGTAAGTGCTCAGCTGCAATGTGGTGTAACCAACTCCTGCCTGAGCCCGGCTGGTAGGTAAGGTTGAGCTCTCTTGGAGAAAAGCTGCGTGTTTTCTCACTGCTGGAGACTGAGCTGCAAGTATGTGGTGCTGCTCCCTTTCAGATTGGTTGCTTAGTCTACTTTTTAAAAGGCGTTTTTGTTTTCTCTGAGAACTATGGACAAGACTATGCCAATTAAAACCATTTCACTTGCCTGTTCTTGCTTGAAGACAGATTTTCACATCTAGTTTCCAGTGCCATCAGCGGATGTTGGCAGTAATAAGCTGTTTCTTACTCTTTGGAAGTGCATACCTGATTTGGAAATGTTCTGTTTACTTGCCTATATTAAATACTGTGAAGTTAGGCATTCTACAGGAAAATCAGGTAGGCAGAGCAGACGTTACATTTGAAGTGCAAAGTACCAGATCTTTGTCAAGGAACAAAATTAATTCTGCCAAAGAGACTAACATGCTCTTCAGAAGTTTAACCTCATGTTCTATTAGATATCGTTATGGGCTTGTTCTTAATAAACAAAAACCCACTGGTTTCTCCCTGCTTCTCCCCCTTTTGAACAGCTTTTTTACCTTTCTTGCTTTCCTATATACCCTTTGTGCTGGGCTTCTTCCCATAGGTGATGAATGACGTGTCTCATACGAGCTTTGGCTTCTGCAAACAGCCTAGATGCAACTAATACCACATGGAGGGATGCTTGGAAAACTGATACGTTTTGTTTTGTTAATGGCATGTTTTGCGCATTGGATTTTTTAACCCACTACTTGCTGCATGGATGTATAATAATGACTCTTTTGTTTAACATTAGATAAGCATGAGATCACCGTGGCACAGCTGCATGTGTAGTCACTCTTGAAGCAATTGCACACCTAATTGGCTGACAATCTTGGCATTTTTAAAACAAACGCAAGCCTTTTAAAGACAGGGGACGTATTTATGTATGAATAGTCAAATAAACCTGTTGAGTGTCATCCATGGAGCCCGCTGGCACTGAACAGTTGTGCGATGACCCTGATCCTGGAGGCAAATCCCAAGATCAAGAGACCAAAAAGCAACATGAATCAGAGCAAAAATTATCCAAAATAACCCATAATGCGTTGGAGAACATTAATGTGATCGGTCAAGGCTTGAAGCACCTTTTCCAGCATCAGCGCAGGAGGTCATCAGTTTCTCCGCATGATGTTCAGCAAGCTCAGGCTGATCTGGAGCCTGAATTGGATCTGGAAAGCCAAAGCGTCTGTGCTGACATTGATGGTGTCTCCACCCACCCCACAGCTCTGAACCGAGTGCTTCAGCAGATCAGAGTGCCACCTAAAATGAAGAGAGGGACGAGCCTGCACAGCAGGCGGGGCAAGGCAGACGCCCCGAAAGGAAGCCCGCAGATCAACAGGAGGTCTGCCCAGGATATTCAGTCGGGTCGGCCCAGATCGTCATCTACTACAGATGCTCCCACAAACTTGTCCGTGATGGAGATTGTTTCTTCTGTCTGTGTAGGTGGAGAGGAGGCCACAGCGGCAGCAGTAAGTTACTCAGATTTACCTTTGGTCTTTATCATCTCCTTGTATGTTTTCTTAATCCTTTTAAATCTTGTTTTTAAAAGCAAGTTTCTTTCAGCAAACACTAGTGCTATTGTGTTCAAAAGCGTCCTCAGTGGTGAAGCAAAGAGCTCAAAAGATGCAAGCATTAAGTCATTTTCTCACATGGCATGTGACTTATTTTATGTGTATTTTGTCAGTGAAATGGGAGCTGCTTTTGAAACACGTGAGGTTGGTTGAATGGCACTCCGCAGTCAAACGAGGAGTGATGGGAAGAGCAGCAGCCGGAGTAGTCCTCCTTAGCAACTGTTGTCTAGTTCCTGCAACAAAACCTTGCATTTACGTAGATGGGTTTTTTCTTTCCCCCTTGTTTTATGGTGCATTTTATAAAAGTGAGGAATTCCAGTTTGAGTGAATGGTGCTGTTGATCTTCTCAGCTGTTGAGAGGCTCTGGCAGCGCTGGCTGCAGCCTGTGGCCGAACTGCCGGGCGAGGCTGACTGGCTGGTTTAGCCTAGTCTGGTTACTGTGCTGATACGGGGCCGCTGCCATCCCTTTTGGTTTGTCTCGCCTGTGTGGAAAAGCACTGGCCGAAATGGCTGTCGCTGTTCCGACACTTTCTTGCAAAGCTGTGCGTGTCGGCTTACTGATGACGTCAAGAACCAGTGCTCGTCTTACCATCTCTCTTCTTTCCCAGATCAACTTAGTTCATTGAAGCACTGCTTTTTTTGAAAACCTAGGTTTCTGATTTAGCTTTAGCTATAACCTGTGTTTTCCTAAAATTCTTCGCAGGCTTTTTCGTTGAAGGACAAACCCTTTGATAAAGATAGGGAGCACCGTGAAACTGATTTCTGGTTCATATGCTTGTAAAGAGGCTCTGACCGTGACTCTCAGACCAAGAGAAACAATCCTGATAGTGTTTGATGCTGTTGAGATAGCACGGTCCTGAAGCTTACGCAGAGTTTTCATTACAAAAACTTGTTCTCATGTACTACAGTTTCTTTGTCGGCTAGGTGATGGTGGATTGGGGCCGAATTAGAGCTCCTCGGTCATCCGGAGGTTGCCTCACCTTGCCTCTGCGGCAAGTTTGTTCCCTGTACATGGTTTTCCTCCCCTTGAAGCTTACTTTGAAATACTGCAAGTGAAAACCTTTTCAGAGTATTCGGCGGTATAATACGCGTGCAGTGTATTTCCCCGATAGTCATCCAGAAATTATCATGTCTTGCATTTATAGATGGCAATTACAAAGTATTAGCATAAATTACAATATCATTCTAAGGCAGTGAGTAAAGTTTCCTTTTGAGAGGAGCATTGAAGGAGTCTGCCTGAAGCTGTAATTGAGTTTTTTCTCTGGCCAACAGTTAAAATAATAGGAATGGTAATAAAGAAGTTAGGAAAAGCATATGCTCTCCTAGGATGGGTTGACTTTGCAATTGAGCTGTATCAATTGAGCTGTTAAGAGGCCTCTTCATAAATAGCTGCAGGTTTATTTGCTTACTTGGCTCTCTTTTCATTGTGAGTGAACTCTTGATCTTTGTTTCAGGAGAATTTTGGGGAAAGTTGATATTTTTCTGATTTTGTAGCCGTATCCAGCAACTTAAGTTTCTGAAGCAAGCTCTAGTTTGTTAGTTTAAAATTGTAGTTCCTCTACTTTGTGTATGAGTGGGGAGATTGAATGGGCCTAAAAATATTGGGTAAGTAATAAGGGAATATGGGAAAAGACCTGGAGCGAGGTGTCCGTTCTCCCTTCTCCCAGCAGTGCCAGCTGATCTGATGAGTTGTTACCACCTTTGCCTAAATCAGTAGTTCCGAGTGGGGTGTGCGCCAGACAATCCATTGGGGTGTGGGAAGAAAGCATTTTTTTGTACCATTAATAAGTAAAATAATTTTTAAAAATAATGTTTGTTTTTCTCTTTCTTTTCCTTTTTATTTTCTGTTGTTGTGTATGTTTTATGATGTACGTAGTGCGTTAGTTCAGTGGTACATGTATATAGCTTATAAATAAATACAGATGTATCGGCAGTCCATGCTCAGAATTTTTTACTGCTGTGCAATCGGAGATTGGAAACCACTGGCCTGGATGAATTGGATCAGTTAACAGGAGTGACTGGAAAAGTTAGAACTTTTAATCTGATAGTGTTTGAGTGTTTATGCTTATTATTGGCTTTCGTGGAGTATCACGTTCTGCCCAGAGGTGTGACGAAGCAGGGACTTTCTTGATTGTGCGGAGCTTTAAGCGAGCTCAGGAACCCGGCTGCCCTCAGGCTCGTCAGCCTTTCTCGGGGAGCCGGAGGTCGGCAGAGGCCTGGGGTTGTGTCCAGCCACAGGTTGCTGCAGAGACTCGAAGTGCTCAAGCGTGCGCTCACCCGAGGCCATGCTGACTCTGGCTGTGCACCAATTTACACGTGTAAAATTACTAGATAAATATGGCCTGTTGTTTAACGGCATTGAATTCAAGAGGCAATTAAACGATCTGTTCCTCACCATAGTTGCTGTTCTGCAGTTGTACTTTCATGTGATGTAATTTTTTTTTTCTTTTATGAAGAAGACTATGGGATTAAATAATCTCAAATACAGTCTTTCCCCACCCCGCTCCTGCCTAAAATGTTTTCATATCTTCATGGAAGATGGGTGTGTGCATAAATTGTAAATGTATCTCTAACCAGCTTCAGCTGTGATCCAAGTTGATTAGTGTCTGAAGGAACATCTGGTTCCTGCCTAAGGGTGGTGGTATAAACAGATGCTCTAAATAACCAAGAAAGTAAGAGAAAACAAAGTGCTGTAGATTCCAAGCAGTGACTTTCTCTGGTGCATAAGATATCTAAACAAGCAAGAAAGGGAGAAAATTGGTTCATGCTTACACTGGCTGCGATGATCCGATGGAGGGACTGGGAGAAGCTGTGGTAGCAGTGGGGAGCTGTGGCTGCTGTTCCTGTCCCAGGCGGTGAGACTGTGCCAGCACGCGCAGCATCTCTCTTCTGTGTGTTGAAAAAAGGTGAAGTAAAAGCCATCGTTGTGGGAATCTATAGTGGCACTGTGGGGCTTTGCTGTTGCTCACTTTTGTTTTCCATGGATGTCTGTTTCCAGAGTTGCTCACACTACTTTTCTTTGAGCTGAAGCAGCTCACCACTGTTCTTCCTCCTTTCCCTCCACATTTCCTCAATCCAACTTCTTTGTGCTGGGTTCTCTGATAAGGAAATGGAAGCACTTAAATAATTCACCCGAAGTCTGCAGAAAGCAAGCAAGCCTTCAGCTCAAACGGCTTTGAGCAGAACCAACATGGTCAGCAAGGTATGCCACAGGTTGTGGTGAAAGGGAGAGCACCTGCTGAGTACTGGGGTTGTTTACTGACTTTACAGTATGAAGACGTAATGCATTTAAAAGTGAACTGTGTAAATTTGAAGTCACTGATACAATTACTAGCAGAGTTTCTTGGTTTATGGTTCAGTGAAATCAGGAAAGCATGATGCAGCCGTTTGTTAAATCAACCTTATAAAAGACAGCAGTGTTTTTGGTGTTGGAGAAGCCAGAATTCACTCTGCCACACTGTTGTGATTTTTGACTAAACAAATTGCTAAATTGCTAAAACTATAACTCTGTGTTCAACAATTCGTGTTGTGAAATTAGTTACAACACAATTTAAATGGAATCAGTAAAGAGCCAGGTGAAATCTGAAATTATTAGAGCAAACAAATGCAACAGAGAAAGTTAAGTGTGAACTCAAACTTTAAATGCTGTCTTAAAGTTATGAGACATCTGAAGTTGTTTCACATAGCATTACTTTAACCCTAAACTTTCCTAATTTATTTCATCTTGTTGAGACGAAGTTATTTAATGAAACTTAAGAAACAATAGTAATTAATTTAAAGTATCTGGCAGATGACATTCTGTGATGAGGGTTGAGAATCCTCTGGACCCCTTGATTCCACAGGAGTCTGTATGGAGTGTGTATACAAAAGCAAACCTTCACTTGCTTTCATTTGTTTCATATTCGCTTTCTCAAGACTTCACCTGTTTGTCTCCTTCAGCTCTTCGTGATCTTACCTTGTAAATAAGTTGATTGGCGCTTTTTTTTCTGATAAAACACTATCAATTTCTCTTCCTTGATTTTGCTGTTTGACAGTGAATAAATACTGACTCACCTTGCCTCAGCAGGGAGTATTTCCTTTGAAGTTATTTAAGAATTTCATAAATCCAACAATAATTAGAAAAATATCACTGAGCTACAGTGTTAATCCATCTGTTGTGAACATGCGGGCTATACAAGCTACAAGGACAAAGAAATGATGTATGGACTGGAAAAGTTGTGATTTAATAATGACAAAAGCTGCATAACATGGGAATGAGTGGTGTAATTCTCGTTTTTCTGATTCGTGTCTTCTGTCGTCATTCGATCTGCTGGCCCCTGTTGCGACGTAGCCCGTTTTTGGCTGCAGTAGGTGTCTGCTGTCAGCGTGGAGCTCTGCTGCTGCCCGGTCAGACGTTTGGTGGCCAATGGTACACGGATGCTCCGAGTGCCTCCCTCTGACCCCGTTGCCCAGGGGTTCGTCTCTGCTGCTGTGGTTGGTACCACTCTTGTAGCAGAAATTCCTGCTCTGCTTTCCCTGCTTGCTTTGTTTTCCTCCTAGGGTTCAAATTTCTGTCATTTGGAAGAAGTAATGGACGTTTTGTTCTCTTCTAGTGATTTCTTGTTGCACTATGGTATGTTGAAATCCCTGGCCATGTGTTCTGTAAGACACATCCTGTAGCTACTGCATAATGCTGCACAGCGTCTGTGGGTTTTGAGTCTAAAATTTGCCTGGGACTGCAAAAGATTTTGCTACATGTAGACGTAGGAAGTCAGCAGACTTGGATTGCTGAGAAATTAGCATTCAGTTATATTTTGAGAGGCTTCTGAAAGCCTTTGTCAGTGCTTCTTATTGGGACGGCAGGAACTTTACCAGTTGCAAATGTATTTGTGGAGCATGGGTGAGCAGGAGCCCTCGTGCTTCTGTCTAGAGTTTAGATCCAGACTATATCCATATCTTCCATTTTCTGTGGAGTTGAGCCTTGAGCCTCATGCTTCTGTGCAAGGCAAGGCTGCACAGGGGTTTAAGTTTGGAATAATATAAAAAAATACCTGCAGTCAATGTCTGTCACTCCTGATCCAGAGTTTCTGGCGTGCCAGATTTCTCATTAGGCTTCATTCTTCGTTTTCCAGGAGCTTCCTCTGTCTGCAGCCTGCTTATTTCTTGTGAGAGGGTCAGTTTTCAGCTGTGTCCTGATTAGATACACCTACACTTTCCTTTTCATGCCTATAACCCTGTTACATCCCTCACACTAAACACTGCCAGAAAGTTTAGGAGATTCATCTCCCCAAAATATTGTTTTGTTAACCCAAGAAGGTTTTTTGTTTGGTTGATTCGCTTTTTTTTCCCCTCTCTATGTTTTATTTGTGAATGCTGCAAAGTTTTGGAGACAAGAGTCTTTGTTTCGTGTCTGTCCCGCACAGCCCCCTGAACACGGTCTGGACTCGTGGGGCAGCGAGTTCCTGCGGTGATCGGCTCAAACCGACGTGTTCAGCGTGTTGTCACTGCTGCACAGAGGCCGAAGAGCTACCTGGTTTGTGTGTTGGTGTGATTCAGAAGAATTCTCTTACCATTCAAACAAAAGCGTGATAAAATCTCCGCTGTATCTTTACAGCACTAGTTTATGGGAAGGACAGGGTTAAGTCTGGGGCAGCTGTCAGTTTGTCAGTCGGTGGGATCGTCCCTTTCAGGTAGACATCGAGAACCCTGGTACTGTTTTAACTTTGCTTGTAAATAGGTTGATGTTGTGTTAACTCGTGTTGGTGTGGTTCTCCAAAATAGCAAGTACTGGATGAGCCTGGCTCTGTGTGGTGCAGAGATCCTCTGCACCCAGGGGGAATTCGGGACATCGAGGACTTTGTGGCATAAGGGAGAGTAAATTCTTAATCCTCTGCACACAAAATATTTTTAGTTCATAGTATTGTTCTGTTCTCTGTTCTCTCAATTTGTGGTTGAAATAGAAGGGCAAAATGTTATCCTAAACCCGCAGATTGGATTTGTTCTAACACCTCATTTAC